TGGTCATGCGGTCGACCGGCCAGAGTGCTTCATCAGCTTCCTGTTTCCTTGTCGTTTCCTCACTTTGACTGTTTTCGCCGCTACCAACGGCTCCACCCACGCTTCTATTCTCAAGCTACCAGGAGAATCATCTATCCCCAAGCTCTTATGAGGATCGTTAAGTTCCCGAAGCAGAGAAGATATACCCGTATTATGGCTCTCCTCTTTAGGAACTTGAAGTCCCGTTCAAGTTAGAACTTCAGGTGAGGAAACTCTCGAGTTCCTCCTTCTTTATTGAACCACTTGGCCTTACTAGGAACCTGACCTTGTCGTCCAACCAAACACGACTCCTTCGTTCTTCGTCTCGTCGTAGTCACCTTCCGCTCTAAAATACAATCCTCTTTCAGTACCTACTTATAAGGACTAATGAACAACGAGACAAACTTCTTGCTTGCATTCACTAATCTCTTCGCTCGGGTCACTGTCACCAAGTTTGTCTTCTTTGGAAGAGACGCCGAACGAAATATGAACTTCTCAGCGTCTTTAGTGAATGTGTACTTCTGAGCAAGCCTTTTGTAGATTGCGTATCTATCCCACAAATACGGATTGTCTTGTATAAGCTGACAAACATCTAATGAAACTTTATCGCACGTGACCTCGTCAATATACGACTTATGGAGTGTAAATCTGAAAGTGTATTGATTAACTACACTTAGCCCCACCTCCTTTTGAATCACCTTAAAGGATAGAGCTTCAGATGCTTGATCGTCTTCAGACCCAGTTTCTGAACTAAGGCCTCAGATATCAAATTTTTCTCTCTGCCTGGATCAACTATGGCATCTATCAAACTGGCCTTCACTTGTAATTTAAGAACAAAGAGCTGCTCTCTGGGATCTTCATCCTCATTCACGTCTATTTACCTGTCATAAGGTCGAGACTGTTGTTGGGCTCTGTCATCCCTAGGACTTCTTTCAGACCTTACGCCATCAAGTATGTCTTTTTCTCATTCTTTAACCCCCTCGGTTTGAAATGAGGATGCTTCTCTCAGCACCGATCAGCGATATATCCTGTCTTCTCGTAATGACTACAAATCAGTTTTATTTCCCCTGAATCATCCTTCTTCTTCTCCTCCTTAGGTTGGAAACCACTAGACTCGCCTCCAGCTTGCTTAGCATCTCCCTTCGTCTCATCGCCTTTCTTCTGCTTGCACTCAATGACAAAAGCCTTCATGCTCGCCTATGCAATCGACTCAACCGTGAATAGCTTCATCTCTTTTCGGATATATTCGTTCAAACCCGCCATATACTTCATGAAAACAGAGTACTCCTCCGTTGCAATGTGAGGACCATCGCCTGCTGCTAGAACTTTGTAGTGTATTCTTGAACGGTCTGATTGAATCTTTGGCGTAAGCCGTACCACTTGTACCAACGCTCTTTAAGGAATCCCACCGGGTAGAACTGTTTCCTCAGTAACTCCTTGAACGTGTTCCACGATAACGATTTCTTCTCCTGTTTGTAGTAGGATTTCCACCAAGTCAACATATGCCCGGAAAGCTTCAATATCGCAAAAACAATCTTCTCCTTTGACGAATAGCCATAAAGTGTGAAATAGGTCTCCATACGCTCGATCCAATCATCAAGCCTCTCAACGTCGATACTCCCATCATAAACAAGAATCTCAACTCTAAAATCAATCTTAAAATTCTGGTAAGAACCCTTGCCCCTTGTTGCGGAACAATCTTGACGGCCTCGACCTCTTTGTCGGAATCTGATTTCTCATTACCTCCATCGGATTCTATAGATTTTTTCTTGGGTCCCGTCGAAGATTCAACTTTTTTTTCGCCTCCGTGGATGAGATCGACGAGCTTCATAAGAGTCGAACCGATGGTCTCGATCTGTTTCTCCACCGCATCAAGTCTGGATGAATTGTTGTTTTCAGCCATCTTCTTCTTCTTAGTTGATTTCTGGACTTCTTCCAGCGAAAGAAGAATATCGCCTAGCTTCTTGTATTGCGATCGAGTAAGGACTATACACATGATACTCCTTCATAGGATCTGATCGTTCTGATACCAACTTGATACGAGTCGCCGTGCGAGCACCTTTGATCGTGAAATTATTAAAGATTGTTTTGAGAAGAAGACAGTAAAACACACAAAACAATTCAATTGGCTAAGAAAAATATATTTTCTAGATTATGAAGAATAAAAGATTATAAAATCTCTCTCTCACAATCTCTCTAGAATAAAGAAGAACTTCTATATTCTCTTTAAACTCTTATCTGATGATTAGAATCTCTCCTCTCATGTTTTGAAACCCTATCTATCCTCTTTAAACTCTTATCTGATGATTAGAATCTCTCCTCTCATGTTTAGAAACCCTAAATAATCCCTATTTATAGGTTAAACAATGTGGATGGTAAAATCGTAAATAACCAAGCCTAACACAACTTGGAATTCGCGTCAAACAGGAGTTCGGTTCGGCCTAGGAAACCCGTCGATCGACCGGCATGCCTTTACCAGTCGATCATCCAGAGACAGGTTTTTCTACCCTGTAGTCATGTCTGTTTTCGGTCGGCCTGTTTTGCTTCCTCAGTCGACCAGTTCTGGTCGTGCGGTCGACCGCCCAGAGTGCTTCATCAGCTTCCTGTTTCATTGTCGTTTCCTGACTTTGACTGTTTTTGCCGTCACCAACGGCTCCACATACGTCTCTATTCTCAAGCTACCATGAGATTCATCTATCCTCAAGCTCACATGAGGATCTCTAAGTTCCCGAAGCACAGAAGAAGATACACACGTATCAGTGTGTGGGTGCGCACGCGTGCATGCATGCGTGCGTATTGTGTGCGCGCACGCGTGTGTATATATGTTTAAACATTAGGATCACTAGCTAATTGTAGAAACTTAATTTGGGAGAAAAGCGTACCAAAATTTGCTATAAAACTTCATGAAGATGGAATTTTTGCTAAAAACACATTTAAAATATTTTGCAGAATTATATTGTTTTGCGACAATCTATATAAAAGGACATATAGGCCAAAATATCAGATGATATATGAGTCATGTCAGAGATATATCGCCCAAAAATTGCTAAAAGCCAGTAAAAAATATTGAGATTATATCATTTCGTGACAAGCCTTATAAAAGGATGTATCAGTCAATATATTAACTATATCAAAGATATTTAAAATAGTGTCTTCACTATTTTTTAGTATGTGTCTCTCACCATTTTAATGCAATCATTTAACAAATATAGCCCTAAAATAAATTCCATTAATATAAAGAAATCATTTTAAGTAAACTCAAGTCAAATCTTTAGATGGTAAGATTTGCCTTCTTGCATACACATGCGCACGCTTAACAAAAGGAAAAAGAGGGGAGATGGGGAGATTTATGGAAGCAACTTTATTTTTTTGGGGCGGGGAAGCAAGAGCTATCACGGCTTTAAAAGTAGAGAAGTTTTAATACACAACACATTTCTAGCTTACGGATCATCTACTAAATAGATCAACTATTCGATCATTACCTTTTTTATGGTTATTTGATCACCACTTTATTAATTTTGATCTGCGTGCTGAGGTTTAGAAGGCTTGTCATGCATTTTGATCTGCGTGCTTTTGAAGGCCGTCAATACTCAACTCATAACTAGATTATCTTTGCTCATTTTCCCTAGTGCAGAATCTACAATAAAAAGGAATGTTCCAACTCCATTCATTCTGACCTACTTGCATTGAAAGTCTTAACAGCGTTTGAAGAATTTATATCCATGCATCAAGTTTCTGTAGAAGGGTTCTTTTTTATGATATAACTAAAAAGTTCCATGATGAATTGGTATCCTTCAAGAGATGTTTTCTTTCATTCAAATATGTTTTGGATATGATCACTAGAAAGGGGAATTCTTGGGATAACCTAACTCATGAATCCTGGCCTCTCCTTTGTTATGTTATGGAAAAACTATTCATTTTGCGACAATTTGATGTATAGAATAAGATGCAAAATGGTTGAAGTTTGTATACATGTAGATAATAAATGAACGGAGTGGATATACAAATTTACTGATATCACTTACTTAAATTGGTGTGCATAATGATTTTGGAGCAATGTACTGTTTACCCCCCAACCCTAACCCCTCAAAACACACATCCACATACTAGACACACTTTTTTTTAAAGGTTAGACTTATACTGTTTCCACGAATCTATATGTTATGTACATATTCCTCCAAAAAAAAACCTACATCAACTTTGATGGAAAAAAGTAGTATTTCTTTTTTGCCCTATGCATAACACTTGTCAATATTTCTAGTTATATTATGCTCATTATGCAGCGTACACAATTTCTTCTGGCAAGTTCTTCCTCTATGCTCGCAACTATAATATAGTATTAGTACTGATTTGAATAATAATTAGTTATTTCTATACTTCTCTGGTAAGGAGAGGACTTTCAAGCTAATTTCCACCAGAGTAGAAAAAATATGGTCAAGTGGTGGGATAGAAAGTTCCCAAGCATGAATCCATTGAAAATAATAGGGAATTCCTACTTTGGGTTGGGGGGGGGGGAGGGGGGATGGGGGAGGGCGTATATTTCATCTAGAGTTGAAATTATACGTAAACCCATTCATTACTTCTAAATTACAATTTTTACGACCAGCTAATTCCTTCATCCAATGGAATCATATTATGACCATGTTTGTTAGAAATTTGTATTGTAAAATGTAATGCATAAAAAATTCCTCTGTAATAATGAATACCTGTATTTTGTCTCATTTTGCTGTCAATAGATGTGATATAAAAATCATATCTGCGTGGTAATTTTGCTTGATAGTAGAAGCATCCGATTTTTATATCCTCAATATGGTAATACGCGGTAAATTCATTTGAATAACAACCAAAACATCTTCTTTCTCTTTAAACACTTCATGTTGTAGTCTTGTAAACTTGCATTTATCCAATTAAACATCATAGTTTGGTGCTTTCAGCCCACCTTTCTAAGATCCTTCTGAGCGTTCCTTCTCTGCTTGCTTTAGGAGACACCTTTACAGATGTAGTTGGGAGTCCCTACTATGTTGCACCAGAAGTATTGCGAAAACATTATGGTCCTAAGGCAGATGTTTGGAGTGCTGGGGTGATCATTTATATTTTGTTGAGTGGGGTCCCTCCATTTTGGGATGGTGAGAATTGCAGGCTCAATTTATTTCTGTCTTGATTCTATTTCCTACTGCCTATTCAAAATAAAGAGAGAATGTTTGCTGAAACAACTTATTTTAACTGATATAGACAACGAGCAGGGAATATTTGAGCAAGTGTTAAGAGGCGAACTTGACTTTGTCTCAGATCCATGGCCAAGTATTTCAGAGAGTGCAAAAGATTTGATTAGGAAAATGCTTATAAGGGATGCCAAAAAGAGGCTAAGTGCCCGTGAAGTTTTATGTAAGAACTCTTTCTTTTTGATGGAATACTCGTATTTGTGCTTAACTGCTTTGATTACTTATCACTGAGTTCTTTTTCTTTTTTTTTCTCTTTTTTTGTGGATTATTATCTATGTCTACCTATCAGCTATTATGGTTATAATCATCACACTATTATATAGCTGTTGTTTCATCCATGATATTCGCAGTCACTTGACCTTCTAATGCTTTTCAGAAACTTCAGAGCCATGTATATGAATATCTGTTTTAAGATTATCTTTTTGAAATCTGTGAGTTCATGTAACTCTATTACTTAGTTTCTTAGCATTTTAAAGTTAGTTTTAATACTTCAGGTTAAGTATTACCACACTGTGATCATAATAAAATGTGCTATACCTGGGAATTTGGATATTCCATTTTCTTGTGTTTTGACTGCTTTCTTTATGAGGTATAGTTGCAGCCATGCTAATGTAGTTTGCTGGGAAAATCATATTCTAATTTTCTGCAGGCCACCCTTGGGTTCAGGTTGATGGTGTAGCTCCTGATAAGCCTCTTGATTCTGCTGTATTAACTCGCTTAAAGCAATTTTCTGCGATGAACAAACTCAAGAAAATGGCTCTCAGGGTGAGTGACCAAATACATAACTTTTACAGAATGAAACTTTCTGTCGATTTACTCATGAAATCTTAAATATAAATGACTAGTATATAGCATAGGTAGATACGGAACATAAGATTAACAACAGTCAATCATGTTGGTGGCTATCATGTAGTTTACTTGGTAGGAACAAACTTTGACTGTGTGTCGAAGGAATACTAACTTACCAGAATACATAAACACTTATAATAAAGTTAAGTTTGTTTCTGGAACCTAAATTGTGCGAGCCCTCCAAAAAAAAGTGAAGAAAAAGAAGAAAATGTTAAGAGATTTTTTGGCACAGAAACCGATGATAACATTCAGGACATTAAATTATAGCCTTATATAACATAGAAAATTTCTTTTCTTCATTTTTGCTTATCTTACGCAGTTTGCTTTATAGTTGCTTATGCTATTTGTAGGACCATTGGGTTTTTAGCCTTCTACCTTCATTGTTATTGTGCTGCTTACTTTGTGATCTATAAGAGAAAATATTTCCTTTTCTGTGATAAATAGTGGGTAATATAGAAGACCCATAAAATCTTCTGTAACTTCTCAACAGACTGGTATGAAAAGTGAAAATTTTTCTATTTATTTCTAGGTAATTGCTGAGAGCTTGTCCGAAGATGAAATTGCAGGCCTAAAGGAAATGTTCAAGATGATAGACACAGATAGTAGTGGTCAAATTACATTCGAGGAACTAAAGGCTGGTTTGGAGAGAGTTGGTTCTAATCTTAAGGAGTCTGAAATTTCAGTGTTGATGGAAGCGGTAAGTGTAACAGTTTCTGATGTGCTTTTTTGTACATAGGATTATTTTCCCTGTTGTTTACTTATGAGTAAAACAAAGTTAAAAAAAAATATTTTAACTTGGCAATTGTCTGTGATGTGAATAAATGTTGTGCTGTAATGATGTCAACCATCAAGTTCTTTGCATGTAGCTTACCTGGTAAGCTATGTGCATCAGAGCAAAGAAATGGCTTACATACACACTATCCTTTGATGCTTCCTCCCCGTCATAAGGAATTAGATTGTTAAATGGACACAGTCTACATGTTTAGCTAAATCTTACTCTATCTATGAACTGGAATTAGTTAACTGCTTACCACTTAGATCCAAAAGAAACTTAATGTCTGAACTCGAACCATTCTGTAACAGCAATTAATAGTATCTTGTACATAGCAATCTCTTTTGGTTTTATTACCTTCTTCCAACTAGTTCCTCTTCAACTGTTTGATCTATAATTGCTACTGGATTTTCCTAAACAAAATTGTCTTCATATAATGATATGCATGCCCTTGTCTTCTTTTAATAATTTTTGGTTGAATATTTCAGGCAGATATTAATAATAGCGGTTCAATAGATTATAGAGAGTTTGTAGCTGCAACTATGCATCTCAACAAAATAGAGAGGGAGGACAATTTATTTGCCGCCTTCTCATATTTTGACAGAGATGGAAGTGGCTACATTACTCCAGATGAGCTCCAACTGGCCTGTGAGGAATTTGGTATAGAAAATGTCCGGCTTGGAGAAATGATTAAGGAAGCAGATCAAGATAACGTAAGTATTTACCTTTCTAGTTCTGAATGTGGTTAAATTTCTTTCTGCATACGAAATAGGTGAGTTGCTTATGCGATATTGTGATCCTGTCTTCAGGATGGACGAATAGATTACAATGAATTTGTAGCAATGATGCAAAAAGAAAATGTTGGTTTGGGCAAGGGGATTCCCAAAAGTAACCACAGTTTTGGGCTTAGGGAGGCTTTAAAGCTTGGTTAAGGTGATTAGGTACATGTTCTCTATTCAAGTTATTTTGTAAATTCAGTTTGGCATGCAGATTGCAGATTGACAGTCCTTGTGGAGGAAAATGAAATCATTCTTTGTCTACATGCATTTTCTTTGTATAGGAAATAGGTCCGGTTTCAGTGTTATAACTCCTGCAAATGTTTAAGTAACATTCTCCTTTGGTCGCTTATTATTGGACGAAACTTGTATAAATGTAGTCTGACATCTGAAGATAAATCTATTTAATTCCACAAAATACTTTGTCACTTGTAGAGAGGGGTGTGTTTTGGAGTACGGCGGATGCAAAAGTGTTTAGAACCTTATGAATTTAGCTGAATCATAACTAAACGAATATGCTGGTCATCAGGGTGCGGAGTACCAAGATTAAAATGAGATAATTGTTTTATTGGTGTATTCTCTTACTTGCCAAAAAAATTTGCTATTTCAGAGCATGTGAGCATGTTTCACCAGAATCTTTCAAACAATGGATTAGTTCACTTTGTATTTTCTCTTCATTAGATTACCATCATTCTTTTACTTGTGTTGAAGAGTTCTCATGTTCTCTGAAGTTCTAGCAGAAAGTTGAAAGAACTTCCGACGCGACGTAAGGTTCAATTTCCACCCACTTCTGTGTTAAAATGAGATTTTTTTATTTTTCTTATCGAGATAAATCAGCTGATATTTCTGAGTTCCACAATTTTATCAAGAAACTTCGTGGCTTGGATGCTGCATGGATCTTTTCTGGCATCTACAACATCTTCCAAAATCTTCCTTGATTGAGGTGAGCTAAAAGTTATTTCTTGTCAGTTTGTCTGGAGTAATTCAGTCCACAATAGCTGTATATATCATATTCTAAGGAACCGCCCATATATGGGTCATGGGACATTTACTTGTCCTACTAGTCATATTAGCTCATATATTTGTCTTTATTAATGACTGTGGACCTCAATCTAGTGGATTTTTGCTAAGGTCTTTGTCTAACAACTCTCTCGGGCACTAGAAATGATCATGTTTTAATGAATTCTATCGTTGTCTTGATATTATTGTTCTCATCATTCCCCTTATTTTTCCTTATATTCTGGAGATAAAAAATAACGTCAGATGGACGTATTGCACTCGTAACAAAAGAAATATTTTCATATTTCAACAAAGATCATTTCTGTTTAATAGAGAATAGTCTGTTGTATAAGTCGCATCTACTCTTTGTTTGGCAATATTTGGACTATCATGTAAGGGATTATTCTATGTATACCTGCTGAATAAGAATTTTAACAGCGTGATAGTAATCGAACTTGATCATAAGTGATAACAAGTGAATGCTCACTGTAGTCAAACCCCTGCTTTTCTCTATATCCGGTCGAAAGCATTCTCATTTTCTACATTATACGAAACCTTAAGTTTTTAATCTATGCTGACAGGCAAATGACATACCCCTCATGTAGCAAGCAAACTTAGCTTGGACAGGCGGAGATAAGATACGTTTGCTTATCTCTTAATGAACTTCAGAACATTACATTATTTATTGCACATTTTTTGTAATTTGGTTCTCTCATAAGAGTTGGCGCACAAAATTCAGAAGGAAGGAAAAACATATACCGGACTAGAAATTTGACCCACTAGAAATTTGAGACATGCAAATGCACGTGATAGCAAAAAACAAAACAAAACAAAAACAAAACAATTTGCATTTTTTAATATAAGAAATAATCTTAATCCTATTTATATTGAATGTGTGAATTTATAGTTGTTGATGTTGATAATTAAATAGATAATATAGTTGGGGTGAGGTTGAATAGGGGGCCGCTCACTTCTCCGAATATATGGTTTTGAGTTGAGTAGATTTAGCCTGCACAAATAGCAACTTGTAAGAGGACATTAACTAGTTTCCCCATGGTTCTTCCGACGATCAAGTCAGTTGGTAGACTTGAGTGGGAAAATGATGAACTGTGTGAGTTCTAAAGTGTAGTGTAGTATAACTTGCAGATATTGCTTGGAAAAATAGCATTCTTTTGTTGAGAATAGTAGCTCTATTTATAGTGGTGGAAAAAGGATAGAATGATAATCTTAGCCGAGTACAGGATGGCGGCAAACGAGCATGACCTGGCAGTTGCGTTAGCACCTACTTTACATGTGTCGGTTAATGAGTGGGGGAGAGATCACCTCAGCATTTAATGTGAAGGATCGGGGCATGGCGGTGTCGACGTGGTTTGATGAGTCATGAAGACTATCGAGGCTAGAGGCATGATGGTGCCTGCCAAGCATTAAATTTGACGTCGACGCGTTGTCAGCGGGGGAGCTTTGAGGTTGAAGTCGTCATTTGGTTTGGCCGAGAAGTAACGTCTTTCGAGTCAACCCCGCGTGGCGTCGAATAACTGGTTGAGTGGGCTCGTAGCGAGTCGTCTTCGACAAGAGGATCGACAAGTATCGCCGATGTCGACTCGTCGAGTCGACCTAAAGAGATGTCGACTCGTCGAGTCGGCTAAGTCGGAATTTTTGGTGATCCTAATCGTCAATTTGACTTGAGCAGTGTATGCAGGAGGATATATGTCCGTTGCTAGCAAAGGGCCGCATTTTAGCGACTGAAAACACCATAACAATAGTGGATGTAGAGAGGGTGATGATTAGATGATTTTCTATAAGAAATTGTCTTTTTACCATTATAATTTGATATTGATATTGATATTTTTCTTTACTAATTTTATTCATATATTAATTAACATAATAATAGTATAGATATATGTAAAGAAACTTGATACTTAGGTATATCTACCTTTACATAAAAAATGCACTTTCTTCTTTGTATCATTTATAAAATAAAGTATAATGGATATGTGGGCTCCAATGTTATTTTCAAGTCATTGAATAATCTAGAACGTTCTTAAAGAAAGAGAAAAGTAAGAGAAGGAAAGAGAAAGAGAATTTTTTTTATATAATGACATTTTTGCCCTTTAAACTACAATGGAAATGAGGACACGTCCACCACTCATCCAAGTTTTAGAGTACCCCAACTTGCTTTTTTATATAATAGTATATAGATGCTGGCGGCACGGGTCTTTCTCCGTTTTGCTCTCATTGAGAGAATCTTAACCTCTCCCTTTTAACATCTCTTTAGTCTTAAGCTTATTCTTGAGTCGGCGGATCACGTCGATTGTCAATGAACTTCTTTAGATGCCCTTTCTGTTATCTTGACTTGGTCTTGTATGACCAAATCAATGTTTCTTAGTTGAGAAAAATGTGGAAAATGGGGTTGTTGAGAGAAAATCTCTCAGATGCAGTTTTGAGGGGGTGGAGATAATGGGTTTGGCCTCTATATATAGTTAAGTGTTTACTTTGAGAAATATATAACAAAAGAAACAAAGCCCCTACCTGTTACTGGAGCCCCCTCAAAGAAACTCATCATTCTTTCTCTTCTTCTTTGTTCACGTTCACTGGTATCAGAGCAAGCGCCGATCTCAACTCCCAGAACACCGCCATCTCGAGCTAGCTGTAGGCTATCTAAAAATCATAATAGATAGTTTACCCCTATCAGACTTCAACTGACAGTTTTGACTAAGGAGGTTACAATAAAACGATTTTCTTGTTACCAAAGGAAAGCTGCAATCAAAGGATTCCTCGATGGATCAAGAAGAGATAACAAGGCAATGATTTCTTCAAACCAAGAAGCAGAATTCCTCCTTGCAATCGAAACACAAGTAATTTCCAACGTCAACGCAATCACTACATCCGCGGCTCTACAGTCGCTGCAAACGCAGCTCTATATCGTTACAAACACAGCCTTATATTTGAGATGATTGATCTTGATGGCTGCGACAACAACATGACTAATATTATATTAGCAACTATTAGAGGTGCTGATGAGCAGTGTAATAATTTTAGAAAAGCGGGAAGATCTAGAGAGCTGTGGGTAAATATTCGATATGCTGAGAAGCACATGGTTAAAGCCATGCAAAGAGATCTTAGTGAAGATTGTGACCTGCAGTTGATAGTGTTATTGAGATGCCTCAATTGTCACAAATGGCCTGAATAAGGCCTTCTCGATTGGTCATTGGTGTCATCCATATATAAAGACAGAGATTGCAAACGCGGCTTCATATCACTGCAAACGCAACTTCATATCACTGCAAACGCAGCTCCATCCGCTACAAACGCAGCTCCATCCGCTGCAAACGCAGCTTCATATCACTGCATCCGCAGCTTCATACCGCTGCAAACGCGACTCCAGACACTACGTTTAGACGCAGGATCATATCCAGACGCAACTCAAGTCCAGATGTTAACGCATCATCCAGAGGTATACGTAAGTTCATGTTTAGCAACGCAAGACTTGCGTTTAACCTGTTCAAATGTAATCGTAGCGACCTCGAAACTGCTCTTCACCCACGATTTGAGGAGTGGTTTACGTGGGTTGTTATACCCGATTAATAGGGCGACTAAACCCTCATATAGGCGCGGATTATGGGGGCAGTTACACCTCTAAAATTCCCCTATAAATATCAACAAACTCAACAGAGTTCAGGATCGGATTTTGGAGATCAGATCTGGGAGAGGAGAGAATCTGAAGGCAACAATCGTCAACAATTGAAGATTTCCAGATATTTGATACTTGGCTTATTAACTGAATTATTTCGGTTCAAATAACTCTTTTCTTAATAGAGTTTGTCACTCGTTCTGAGTTACAACACTCGTGGAGAGTTCTTGATCGGTTCAACCACACAAGTTAGTTGTTCCAGTGAATTGAGATATTCGGATCGTCAACGGAGAGCAAATTCGACACGAGCATTCGAAGGAAGCACTCCATCGCCACCGTGAAGGACCCAGATTTAAACAAAGGAGAGAATTCAGATCAATTCTCTTCTCTTTTGTAATCAGGAATTCAAATTGTAATCAAGAGTTGAGAGAGTTGTAAACATTCTTTTTCTAAGTAGTTAGAGAGAATAAAATCAGATACAATTCTTTCATAATTTTCTTATTGTAAATTTTCCACAAACAAAAGATGGCGACTCCGCTGGGGACTAGCTTCTCTGACGAAGAAGTGGTGGCACAATCCGATGTCCATCTCGCTGGAACAACTGTTGAAACTCTCGTTGTAGAGTTTGATCAAGCCAAGTACGAGGAAGCTCTTTCCTCTGGATCGCTTAGCCCCAAGGCCATGTGCAACATTCGAAAAATCTCCAAAGAGATCCAACCTGTTGCTGAAAGGTCAAAGAAAGCCATCTCCTTTAGCCGATATTCATCAAATCACCCCTCCTCTGAAGGAGCGGACTTA